GCACCTTTGCAGCCTGTCCCACCCCCAAGGTCAAGTGAGGCCCAAGGATCACAGGCATCCTCCAGGTGCCTAAGTCGGAGTGTGGACCCAAGTTGAGGCCCGTTTACCAGAGGGGAGAGCAGCAGTACCTGCTGGGCCTGGCCCCGGGGGCTCACCTGGGGACATGGCCTTCATGTCTCGGGGGAACTTGCGGCACACATTGTTGTAGTTGGTACAGATGTGGTGGAGACACCAGTCGGCCAACTGGTATGCACAGTGGAACTGGGAACAGAACAGAGGGTGTCTGTACTACAAGACCAGGGCGGGGGTCTGCACAGACACCTACAGTTGTCTTCAGAGCTGATGCTTTGGTGCAGGTGGACAAAGCCCTTGTAGTCAGGAAGACCCCTCCTCCAGGGGCGAGCCCTCACCAAACTGAGGAGGACAAGGCTGGATCCTGGCATCTGAGCACCCCCACCCATGCCACTGCCACCTCGCCTCTGTCCTGGCCCAGCATCCACGCCACGACATCCACAATACTATTTGGTTGCCTCCTACTGCATCTGCCCCTCAAATCTCACCCACATCATGTCCTTGTTCTCCCCATCAGGGACCAAAGCAGTCGTGCTAGGGTGTTGACAAGTGGGCTGACTTTCCCGGGAGGGTCCGCAAGCCCTGAATCAGCCATGCTGTCACCTAATCAGCTAGTCTTTGGTGGTTGAAGTTCTGGCACCACAAGGGCCAATGTTGGAGACTTTTCTCATTTGTTTGGAAACATGGGGACAGGCAGTTAATTTCAGATGCAGAGTCCTCAATGCCCCTGCAGTGACCTAAGCAGGCAGCAGCCATGTCTGTGCCTTGGACTGGGGTTCCCTGCCCTGCCCTACAGTTGCCTAAAGTCTCAGTCCCTTCCTCCTGTGGCCAGCTCTCCTCTGGGTATGTCAGGGAGTCCTCTAGCTGCTTCCTGGCAGGGAGGATGGGATGGTTCTACCCAATCAGGGAGCCAAGTCTGACAAGGGGTTCCCTCCCTGCCCACCACCTCCCAAACATCCCTACTCACTGCCAATGAGCAGACAGAGCCTGGACTTGAGATTGCTGTCAATTCCCTCCCCTGTGTGATACCTGAGCCAGTTCCAGGAACACAAGGACGTCCCCATCGATGTCCACCATCATCTGAGTTGCTTCCATCAGCCCGGTCACTGTGTACTGCTCTGTGATACACACAGCCAGCAATGAGCTGGGGAACCATGTGAACAGACCTGCACGTGCTCACACCCCCCAGCAGTGTGCACTGCAGAGCACAGAGAGATCAGGGCCAGGGCAAGTCGCAGCAGGCCAGGAAAGGCCATAGGCAATTTAAGTCTGCTCCCACCACGGGGGGGCGGGAATGAATGCCAGCCTTTCTTTTTTTCCTTTTTGTCTTTTTTCGTGTCCGGCAACGGATCGCAACCCTCAGTGTCGCGCCCTTACCGGACCGGGAACGGCAACGGGATCGCAACCCTCGGTGTTGCACCTGCACCTCGCTCAGCCAGTGAGCGGGAACCGGTCTGTATGTGGGATCCGAACCTTCGGCGGGAGCGCCGCGCCGCACCCCCAAGCGGCGCACTGTAGCAGTGCGCCACCGGGCCAGCCCGAATGCCAGCCTTTCTCAGTGGGGTGGGGTGGGGCGTGAAGGAGGATGTTAGAATCAACTAAGAGGATTTTTCAAACTACATGTGTCCCATCACGTAGTCTGATACGTGTAGGGTGAAAGTCCCAGTGGAATCGGCCACTGATACAGACGGGACGAGGTATTAAGCCTCACCTTTGCTGAAAACAGAAAAAAGGCTGAGAACGATGAGCTAGAACCATGGGTTAAAACTACTTGTTTGTATTAATTTAAATTTTGCAACCAACTGTGTACTAATCTTGCATTTTACATTAAAACATTTATCCAGAAGAAGTAAACACCCTTCGTTTTGAATTTTAATTAGCAGTATCAGTAAAAATTCATGAGGTATTTTATCTCTAAAAAGATAAATATATTTCCCAGCTCTGTCCACAGAAAAGACCTAGAAACAATAACCATCCGAAGAGAAATGAGCATTTCTAGTGCACAGAAATACCATTTCCGTTTCCAACTATAAGAAACCAGGACTTCTTGGAGAAATGGCTGATCCCAGGCCTAGGGCACGAAATGTGCATGAGAAACCGA